GGAAAGAGATATTAAATATATATTTTATCAAGTTACACAGCTATTAGGTATCAGAGATGGGATTTGAACTCAGGTAGTCTAGCTACAGAATCTGCTTTTAATGACTATTCTACACGACTTCCAATAAAATATACTAAGATGACATTACAATATTTAAAAAGATCTCCTTAGACACTGGTGGGAGTTACCGTGAATGCAATAGAGAGCAAAGAGGAGGGTTAGATTTAGACACCAGGTGGCAAGGAGGCCCCCCCCAGCAGTTACTTGCTTATACACAACAGCCTCAAGGAACACAAACCAAATCTGTCCCAGACCCAATGAAATAAAAATGTGCCACATTACACAGGCTTTTTCAGTCTCGTCAAAGTGTTGAAATAGCACCAGTAGCCTACCGTTTTGAGATTTCTTTCTTGAGATATTATAACTTTTCTTTATTACTTTTCTTGGTACCTTTCCTCCCTCTCCCTTTCTCCCTGGATTCTAATCACTAAATTCAAAACTCAATCGCTATAAATGCCATACTAGGATGAGAGACTGAATGTTGATTTTTATTTATAATACAACAAATAGAACTTTTACTTGAGAATCTCAGCTTTAGACATAGTTATTTAATTCTAACATTCAAATTTAGTGCTGCAATTAAGTACAGCGAAATGAATACGGACTTGGGAAATGCATTTTGTCTGCGTCCTCATACTTATTAGCCATGTAGCCTCGGGTAAATGAGTTTGTTGGTCTGAGCTTATTTTCTCTTCGTTAAAATCATAATTGTGTTACTTGCCACATGGTAAGGATACATAAAATCATGTATTTTACACAATATTTGGCACACATTAGGTGCTCAGCAAATTTTATGTTTTATTTTCCTAATCCCTTTACAAATATTTTATAAAAATTTACCTTTTGAATTTTTATTTAATAATTATAGCACTTGCTAGACGATATGAACTGACGATTAAATTGAGTTCCTTCTTACACCTGCTGACAATATAACTCTGTACAGCCTTGTCCATAATATCCTTTTACTAATAAAAAAATATAAATATATATATACCTATAAACTTTCTGTGTGTGTACTTGTTATTGTTGTTCAAGGCTGTTCTTTAACTGCTTTTAAGGAGCTGAATTACATTTAATGATAGGTCTTTTTCGTGTTATAAATGTCCCAAGATTAATGATTTAGCTCTACCAGGGTACTGTCAGAATTCTCTTACTTATAATTCTGACTTCAGATACAAAAGAAAAAAGTAATTATCATGGAAGCAGCTGAAAATGATAAGATAAAGAGAGATGCCAGACTCAAGCAAGGACATACTGTTTCTGTACTATTCAAACATGAAACTTGAATTAGGCAACTCTCTCCCTCTGGGTGTTACTTGCTCTTGTAAAGTGTCATTCTCAAGTTTTGAGGACTCTATAAAAGTCCTTAGAAAATAAGCTAGTGATTTATCAGCTAACAACCATCCTGAGTAATTAGTATCCTGAGGAATATTTGAGATTCAAGTCTGAAAAAGGTGCTGCTCCATGAAAGAGGGAAAATATTGTCTGAACATTGCATATGTACATTTTTTCATTTCTGCTCCCCTCATTCCATATTATTCAGAGTAGCCTGGCTGCTATAAGAACAACATAAAAATATCTTAAGGGCTTAACCCAATAAAGGTTATTTCTCTCTCACATCACAGTCAAGGT